TTCTCAAGAGCTATAAGGTGTTGAAGTGAGGGAACATGTAACATATACATAAAGATCATTATCCAGAAGTCTTCATGCTAACTTTGACGACAGTTGAATATTAAAGCTGATTGAAGTGGTTTTACTTGTTCTTTCAGCGCAGAGCCATAACAATACAAATGTCAGACTTTCTAGCCACAGTCTGTTCCTACCTTCGATTGTTCTACGACCTGTCTCAAGTTTCTTTTTTGACATTTAAACCCAAGTCTTAAATCTACACTGTACCGTGTATACAGCCATTTACTGCATTGCTTTCTGAATCTCTTTTAAGTAATCAGACCAAGCTGCAACCTCAGGGGTACAAAAATTATGCAAAAAAAAACTGCAAACTAAAAAACACCTAAAGTAAAATGTTTACGGCCTTGTACAAAAAAAAACGATTTTGGTCTTTCTCTGCACAGATTGGACGGGGAAGGAATGTTTGTATTGCTCGTCCATTTTGATTTTATAAAGAATAAGCGCTATGCATAATTAGGAGCGTGACTGATGTGACTGCAAGTGGGCGTGTTGTAGTGGTTTGCAGTACCAGGAGGCTTATGGCTCCAACAGGCTCCTCTTTTCCTATTACCATGTTGACCAAAAGTTGGGTTGAGACAAAAGTTTAAATATGGCTAGGGCGAACATTGGGCTTGAAACCTTCAGTAACCAATGGGTGACATCACTGACACTACATCTATGTTTTCTACTTTCTACTACTAATCTGACCCACATTCACCTGCAACATGCTGACAGACATTCACCTCCTTCCTGTGTTACATCATTCTGTTACAGACTACTTCTGTCTTCATCTCTGTGATCTTGAACCCGCCAGATGTGTCCTCTGAGGGCACCATTATACCACCAACAGGCCCTATTCTCTACATCCATTCAGCAGCCTTTTTTTAAAAAAATACTGGTGTAACACTCATGATAGGGATGCTTCTTCTTATTATTATTATTTCAAATTGATGTGTTCTTTGTGTAAATTAAATAGTGTAAACTGTGAGCATCTAACAAATTAATTCTTTAGCTTCAAGATTCATCAAAAACTAAAGACAGTAGAATTAAACAAATTAAAGGGATATCAGGCCACAACTTAAAGGAAAACAACATTTGCTCCAGTTAGACAATTAAAACACGGGCTACAAAAAACATTAGCTTGGACTTTAAGCTTTTCCTTTTTTAACCACGTAACCCAACCACACGCTTACATTCTCTTCACGCTACATCCTAGCTAATGGTGTCATCTGAATGTTGATGTTGGATGATGAATGGTAACATTATAAGGAACTATCAAGTAATTTACTTTAACCTTGAACTGGTTGGTGTCCCTGCAGGTTTTAACAGTTAATCGTCCTTTTGGTTGCTGTTCAGAGAAGAAGCTGAGAAATGCTTACGATTTGTCAGATTAGCAACATGTATCCTATCACAAACTTGAACACAGCCGTATTCATTGTAACAGCATTAATGCCTCCCGGCTTGAGTGTTACATCAGAGGAGAATTGCCACTGTGTTGAATTTGTCAGTACCTTAAATACCGGTATTTGTCATAAACGGCAGCCTAGGTCAAATGTAATGATCTTTTATCAGGTGTGCTCTCCTCTGGACAGCAGGTGAGCGTAGATTAAAAAGAAGGGAGGGCAAGGAAGGAGCGTAAATCCAACCTAATCCAAGTTACTCGTGTATAATTTCCAAGCGTAAAACAGGCACATGTTGAGCCTACATCTGTTGAGATTATCTCCTGTTATTCTTTTTGTTTGCTTGTTATGTGATATTCAGATAGATGGATTACGCAGCCATGCAGGATAAGTCTGCTGTTTTCCTCCGACATGATGGGTTTATGGTCTTTCAGCTGGGCTAGTAGGTTCACTGATCCCGTTGGACAGCATTTTTCTACTATGATACTCATAATAAGCACTGCAGGCGTCCATCTGTAGCAGGTGTATTTTGTCACATGTGGGCTCAGTCGAGGATTCAAAAGCTTTAGTCTGTCAGTCACCAGGGGACAGTAGTAGCCAATGTATTCCCCTGTGTCGCCCTCGAGCTGTGTTTCATCATTTCTCGCCGTATGTGCTTTGGTTTCAAGGGGTTTTCATTCACAATAGACTGACACTAACATGGCTGCTATGCAAACAAATTACAGCTTGCTTTTTTTTTTTTTTTTTACGATTAATCCCTCTGCTGCAGTTGGGGCATGTGTTAGGAGTTGGCTTCTTAGATAAAAGAGGGGCACGACATGCAAAGCCTTCCTGAGAAATGTGCAAACACAAGCAGAGACGTGAGCATCTGTTGGTCCATATGCAGATTACAACCAAGGCCTGATTGTGCTGACTGGGAGGGAGGGGTTGAGGAGGAGGGGGGGTGGGGGTTCAGCCACAGCTGTCCAGAGTCATAGTGCATCACCACCCGGCGGAGTGGGTCAAATCTGTAGCTCCTGTTTATCTGGTGAGCATCATTAGAGGAGAATTCTCTCTATTGGAAGTACTGGAGGATTGTGAAGATACCTGAGCAGCTTGTTAGGAGGTGAATGTTTTCTTAAAAAAGGACTGTCTTTGTACAGAGCGTTTTAGCTGTTGTCTTTGGGATACAGAAGTGTTGCAGCCTTGTGCAACTCGATTGCCTGTGTGTGAGTGGGCTTTTAAATACTGCTCAAGTTGTGTCAATTAGCTGTTTGAAAAGTGTAAATATTCTAATAGTTCAAAGTTAACAGAATGGATCTCTTTAATAACATGTCATTTTATATCATGAGAGCTGGGTTTTTTCATAACAATGTTCATGTTAACGATCAGCTGATATCACTTTATAACTGAAAGTGGTTATATATTGTTTGTGCAATGGAGCCTATAAGAATATTTCTGCATTTATTATATTCTGTGATTTTCTGAAAGGATTTTGATTCATGAAATAGCTTGACTTCTTTTGAATTTAATTTGCTGTTTTGCCCTAGACAATGTTTTATGTTAATATTCCAAGAGATATTACATTTAAAAAAAAAGATATATATATGAAATTTAGAACTACAAGAACAATGGCATATGATTCTGTCATTGTTTCACTATACAGTTATATGTGACTCTTTATATGAAAATTTAAAAACTTACTTCCAGATATAAAATTACCAAATGAAATTGAACACATGGTGATCATTTTACATTTGATTTTTTGGAATCTCTGTTGAAATGTATATTATGACATAATGTTACATTGATTTTCATGTCGGCTGGGTCAATCAATCTTTATGTGTATAGCGCCAATTCATTGCAAATGTTATGAGCTGGTCTCGACCGTACCACTTGTTTTCGTACTTACAGAGACCCAGCATGAGTCCACCATGAGTAGATCACTTGACAAGATTTAACAAGTAGTAGTGGCGAGGAAGAACTTTAGTCGTGTACATCTAGTTTTGTACTTAATGTTGAATCATTTACAGATATCACATCAAATGGCACAATAACGTAGCTTACATTTAAAATAGAATTTTAGGAATTTCAGGTGGATTTGGTGAGGTAGGGATGGCGGGTGTTAGGATAGGGAGTTAGTGATTTTCTCCTCAGTGTTGGACCTCAGGAAGAGTAAGGTCCCCGAGCAGCGCTGTCAGCATTCCTTCACCCACACAGCTCAATCACATCAATAAAGAGTAGACGGCCACTGTGCTGAACTAAAGGACAGCCATGATGCTGCTCTTAAACCATCCTCCTCCTTTTCTGTCTCTTTTTATTTCCTCTCTGCCAGCTTTCCTCTCAGGTCTTAGCTCAGAAGCTCTTCAGCTGCTCTGCAGGCCGGAGGTGGAAAATGAAACACCAGGTGGCACAAAAGAGCTGAGCTGGAATCTAAATTTAGCTGAGAAACCCCATTTTTAGCTCTCGTAAATAAGATTGAACTGCGTTTTAAAGGATGATTTAAAGAATTTTCTAAATAGATTTTTCACTTTACAAATGGACGTTTAATGGCAGGAGAAAGGGCAAATACATGTAGCAATTCTTCACAAAGCCAATGTCATTTGATTTTTTTTTTTTAATTATAAGACATTTTCAGCAAAAAAAAAGAAAAAAAAGCCAGAAAAAAGTTTAAAAAATACTCAACTCTCCCAACAGCTCAATGTTATAACCACTGATTTCTTGTATTGCTCCAGCAGTTTGAGATCCAAAGTGTTAAATTTGTTTTGTTAGGATATAAAACTGGGAATGGCAGCAGATGCTCATCATGATTTGTATTGAACATTTTCTGTCATTATAAGCTTACAGGTTAATCAGCAGATTGTTTATAGCCCATTTAATACATATCCATGTAATAAGATATTAAACACATATCTGAGACTGCAACTAATAATCATATTATGATGGGGTTGACTACTTGTCGGTAATTTACTGCTTCAGTATCTTGTCATGACAGAAACCAAACAAAATGTCTGGGATACCAAAGTGACATGTTTTGATTTTGTTCTACCAATGGCCAAAATTAAATGAACTGTAATATTAATAAGAGAAACATAGAATATTTATATTTATGTTAACTATGATATTTTTGTATAGTGATTGATAAATCAATAAAGCCACTACCAATATTTTTGTTGGGTAATTCTCTGTGATTCAACCAATAGGGTTAAGGATGGGTTTATGTGGGATAAACGTCTGTCCTAGTAGCAAGCTGGTTTGTTTTATGAGCTGACTGCAGGACGTCTCGCTGTGTGGGTTAATAAGTAGCGGTATTTTCTGCCCCATTCCTCATTCTCAGTCCTTACACCTTTTCAATGTTCCACCCCTTACACACACACACACACACACACACACACACACACACACACACACACACACACACACACACAAACAACAAACATACGCCCCCAGCCCCAGCCCCGAGGAGATTCACCCACTGTTCCCATGGCATTCGTTCTCTCGCAAGTGAGAGTGTGTGTACCACATTACGTCTGTGTGCAGCCAGCTTCACACACCGAGATAACATGTATCTCTTCATATTCACAGGCCAACCCTCCCCCTATCATCGTCAACGCAGACTCACTAGATGCAGGCCCTTATGTAAGTATCTGTTCTCTCTCCCTCTGTACAGTATGCATCTCTCTCATTCACATTCCCTCTGTGTCAGTGCATGAGCATGCTTTGCGTGTGCGTGTGTGTGTGCGCGCGTGGATGAGGATGAGGATGCCGCCTCCTGCCAGCAACATGCTGTTTGCCATTTGGACAAACACCCATTATCTTCTTGACCCGCCTGTTTGTGTAGAATGCTCATTCTGCAGTCGCACATGCAGCAACACATTTTGAAAAAGAAATGTACAATTTAAGATGCATTGAGTTTTTAAATATATGATGGTATTTATAGGAGGTAAAATCGTCTTGTGAATGTGTCCTCTGTGTAATTTGTCAATAATCCCATTCTCCACGCCTCTCTGTGTTTTATAGTGAAGGATTTAGCTGAAACATTTGCATGCTTCCTACTATGTTTTGAGAAAATGACAGAATCCAAGCTCAGTGTTGTCACTAACCATTATGCTTTTATTTTGACAGGTAAATGGCAGTGATGGGATGTATAAATATGAAGAGATCATTTTGGAGAGGGTGAGTTTTACCCCTTACTTGTTTCCTTTTACACACATTACACAGGAACGTGTTATCTGCATGATGGATGAATTTCTCCCCACTAGGGGGTGGTAAGCAGCTCAGTCTTTGCTCAGTCAGCTTAAGGAACATGACCCCCCCCCTCCCCCCACCCCTTCAAAAAAATCTAAATCGCTGTTGTAAGAATCTATATGATAAGCTGTGTGTTGGTGAAGTTACATCACTGCAGGAAGAATATCTTGTGTGTGAGTATGAGCGCAGAATAACGCCACTGAGGCGTAGCTTTTTACATAATCCTGATGCACATGTCATCAGCAGACGCCAGAAATGTAAAGTGCTCTCCTGTTCAATTGTTCAGCAGGCACTGCTGCACTTGTCAGCACTGGATATGTTTCTGCTCTTATTCCACCCGCATATAGATGCACCTCTAAACCCCCAGATAGATGCACAGCCCCTCTCTGCCCCTTCCCCTTGAAAAGGCAGACAGAAAGTGTAAATAAGCTACGCTAAGTCACACTTTTAAAATTCTGTGGGTGTGTACAATTTGGCGGTGAGGCCCAGTACACTCCTCTCAGCTCCAGAGCAGCACACTGGGAGGCCTCAGACTCCCTCTGTCCTAATTTGTTGCGACTGTTGCTCATTAATTATAGAAAATAATAAAGTGAGGTCTTTTCTCAGCTGTCTTGTTTACTGCCTGTCTCTGTGGCCACGGCTGTCAGACGCAGCAGTGAACCCAGGCCCGCTGGATCCAAATGGGTCCTCTGTCATTGCAGGGGCAGGAGAGACAGGACTGTTGTCGTGTCTGTCTCCTGCAGAGAGCGAGAAGCTCTGTATCATGCAATAGAAATGACACTTCTCCGCTCATCTTCCTTTTGCATCATAAATCCACTCTTTTAACACATTTTAACACAGCGCTGATCTGTGTGTTGAGAGAACAAGTATGGCATTTTGAATAAGGTGCCCTCTTCTAATGGAATACATGCCATTATCATTTGTCACATGCAAGGACACATATGCACACGCACAAAAATGGAGAATGCATGGAGGAATCCCAGGAGCAGTTTGCATTGATCACGTGTCCCTCTGAGATACCAATACACTTAAGAGCCCCCTAATGCTGACCTTGAGCCAACATCAGCTCCATCACTTATGTCTAAGTCTGTGAGTGTGTGTGTTTTATTGTGTCATACTGAAAGTGCCAATCATAACCTGTGTGCAGGGGAACTCTGGCCTGGGTTTTAGCATCGCTGGAGGAATAGACAATCCCCACATTCCTGATGATCCGGGGATATTCATCACTAAGATCATCCCTGGAGGAGCAGCTGCTATGGATGGAAGACTGGGGTATGTCTCTCTGCATCACGATGTTTCCCTTCTCCCTCCTCTTCAGCTCCCTCTATCCATCTACTCCCGTCTAGTTGTTTCTCTCTGCCATCTCACCTCCTTACTTCGCACTTTAATGCCGTCATATGTCCTACCTGGCAGAGCTGTGTGGAAAGCAGAGTTTCTTCAGAGGCCCTGGGCTCTCTTCTTCCTCAAAGTTATGATTCACGGAAAAATCAAAGCCTTAAACATGCAAAAATGATGTAATACAGTGCTTTTCTATGTGCTCTGGAGATTTTTGATTACTTTGGCCATGCAAAGGTCTTCCCCTGCCTTTGTAGAGTGAATTAACTCCATCGCTGGTATCTGTTGACTGACAAGACGGTGTGTGTGATTTTTAAATTAAATATTCCCTTCCGCAGGGTGAATGACTGTGTGCTTCGTGTGAATGATGTGGACGTGTCCGAGGTGGTGCACAGCCGGGCAGTGGAAGCCCTGAAGGAGGCGGGGCCAGTGGTGCGGCTGCTGGTGCGACGGAGGCAAGCCCCACCTGAGACGATCCTAGAGGTTAACCTGCTGAAAGGGCCAAAAGGTCAGCGACACATCCCCCTCACAAATAATATATATACGTTTTGATGTCACACAAGTCTTTGTCATTTATATAGACACATTATATATGTTTCAGGATTAAAGTGCTATTTATTTAGTAAATACAGATAAAGACTACATTTGGTATTTTCAAAGAAATTAAGTATAGCAGCTCCAGACATAAATATATATCTACAAATGTGTAAATATGTGCACATATTGACTGTCTGACTGTTTGTATTATTCAACCAGGGCTTGGGTTCAGCATCGCCGGAGGGATTGGAAACCAACACATCCCAGGAGACAACAGCATCTATATAACCAAGATCATAGAAGGAGGAGCCGCCCAAAAAGATGGACGACTGCAGACAGGAGACCGCCTGCTAGCTGTATGAACCTCCCTCTGACGCAGTTAAACACCTAGGGTTCAAACGCAAATGAATTCATTTCAGGTGTACCTGTAGTTAGCTGAAATCAGTTCTTGTAGTTAGTAGTGATGACGAGCTCTTTTTGCTTCAGTCAGGGAGGCATGTTTGGAGATGACGAGTTGTTTATGAGGCATTTAAAGTACATCGTGTTATCTGGTTGGTTGCTTCATCCTGCCATTCTACACCAAGCGAGATGGACAACACACCTTAGCATTTATGGTCATGTGGATGATTGATCATGCAACATTAGAGAGTGAGACATAGGACAACAAAATAGCTTACATCACTGCAGACAAAAATTGAAAATGAATGCTTTATCACTCGGCTGTAACGAATATAGCGTTCATTTACAGGCATGGTGCCTTCACACTGTTCAAATCAAATACAGTACCTGTCAAAAATAAGAAGGGTCATTTGATTAAAGTTTGTGATTGTGGTAAGGGTATGGATGGGGAAATACTCAATCTCCATTAAAGCATCCAGCATAGTACAAAATGGTCACAAGCTATACTTCCCAGTGCACCTGCTTTTAATAGAGCAAAAAACTGAAACCTGAAAAATGAATTCATTTGTGATCCATGAAACACATTACATTATGTGCAATAATCAAATTCTGTTATTTTAAAGCATCTATACTTTTCTTGACTCACATTTTTAATCTGTTTTTCTAAAACCATTTTTGGTTTCTGCTGCTTCAAGATATTTTTCAAACTGCTATGAGTAAATTAAATAGAAGTTGTCTTTTGTTTTTAAACCTATGACAGTTGATTGAACATGTTCATCAATGTTACAGACATAATTTATTGTGTCTTATAAAATCAAAAAGCATTTAGATACTGTAAAGACCTCTGAGGGAGATATGTCAGCGCTACTGTACGTTGAAAACATGCAAGGTGTGTTATTTTTTACATAAATTAACAGTGAAGGATCAACAATACTGTAACTAAAGAGTCACTTTAGAGTGATAGGAGTCTAAGCAGTAATATAATACAACAGATCTTAAATACTGTACTGTACTACATTTTAGATTTTATGAAAACTGCTGCAACGGTGTTGAATAACTTAAGATTGACAGCATGTACCCAGGGATTCGGATCTTAAAAGAGAAACTGAAGAAATTCAGAGCATCTTCAGAACCTTCTACCTACTGCTTCTGACCCCTGTTAATGCTGCACAGCGCACCAACCCTTCACTGTGCTATTGAAGTCTCATAATACCTTCAAGATATGATTCATTGTTGTGTTGGCTGGTGTGATGCCTGATGTTGTCACAGTGCAGCAAAGACACGAGGTGTTCAGGTGTTGATACATAGATTCATCCTCCTCTCTTTTCTTGACAATCATCACATTCAGGTGAACAACATCGTGCTTCAGGACGTGCGTCACGAGGAGGCAGTGGCTGCGCTGAAGAATACCTCTGACATGGTTTACTTAAAGGTGGCCAAACCTGGCCCTGTACACCTCAACGACATGTACGCTCCTCCAGACTACTCCAGCAGTACGTATCTACTTCTTCTTCTTCTTGTTCCAGTCGTCGTAGTGCAAACATAAAGGGTGAAATAATGTTTGTATAAGACATTTAGTATGCATAGAGTTAAAAGGTAAAAATTATGGAGAAGGAAGTTTATACAGGACTTGAACCTTGTAGCTAAATGCAATTCATTATAATAACATTGTTATTAAGCTAGTGCATTGCTTAAACAAACTTTTGAAAACCCACCTGTTCAAGTCAGCTTATGGACTTGATTAATTGTGTTGTATTGTTCATGTGTTGTGATATAACGCATCCATGGGTCCCTTGAAAGGTGCTTTATAAATTCAAGCTGTTTACTATTATTGCAAACAGAAACAGTTCTTTAGGGTGTCTATTTTTTGTGGCATTGAAATTAGAATTTTAATGATGAACTGTACTGTAAGCACATAATTGACCTAACTGTAGTCCCTGTCTCTTTTTAACATCTATTTATGCACATTTGCATTTCTGTATTGACCTATTTTACTTGGATTTTAACTTTAAACCATCCATAGAAACAGAATGTCTTCCATACAGAAACCCTGTTCTTACCCTTTTAAAGTTGGAGAATGCATTTTCCAATGTCTGATCAATAAGCAGCCAGCCTCAAATCTACAGCCTGTTTATTTATGTGCTATGTTTGACGTAAGGAAACCGAGATTTATAAGTGAAGGTCCATGTTTGAGTGTTTTTCGCTGCAGAACAGCTTTTTATTTCTAACAGAGATGTTACAGTCGGCCTGCATGAATTTTAAAGTTGGATCACTGTTCTCTTCCCAAAACTGTTATGCCCACACACCCACATAGTGAATGTAGTGAATGCTTACACACACACACACACACACACACACACACACACACACACACACACACGCACACACACAAATCCTACCCAATGAAACAACAAGCGCAGTTCTCTGCCTCCCACTAAGTGTGGTTGGTTTCTCACATCCCACCTGCTCATGAGAGCCCACGATCTTGAGCTGCAGCTTCTCAGATTCCACACAACAATGATTTAGTATTAGAAAGGGGGTGGGGTTGGGGGGGGCGGTTGAGGGCTTTTTGTATATTCTTGATGTTTGCAGTAGTCGGGGTCAAAGCAAGCCTGCGAAGCAGACTTACCGGTAACCCCCCCTCTGATGGTCAGATGATCTGAACATTTGAAATGCTTGTTTTATCACGCTCAGCTGCCTCCAACAGGAGTGTTAGTTCAGAGAAGAAGATAAAAGGTTGTTTTTTTTTAGGCTTGTGATATGGCTTTTTGCATAAAAGAACAAGGACTACATTCTTTTTCTTTTCTTTTCATTGTATTGACAGACAACATGAGTGTAAGACTGAAATATGTCAGCTCATATATAATACAGTGCTAGTAACCCACTGTGTACATATGAGCACACGCACAAAGAGTGGGAATTAGTTAGTAATAATTGAATACTTTGGATCAACTCTTACTTATAACATTGCTATCACCAAGTTAAAGGCAGGGCTGGTCATTTGGTAATACACTTTTTAAGATTTTGGTTGAAATTGTCTTCAGGTCCTGACAGAAATTAATAACTTGTGTGCTCTGAAAAAGGAACTAAGAAGATCCATCATCTGTAGCTGTTATATAAGCCTCTAAAAACTTCGACCAATGTCTGCCACGAGGTGCCAATTTGATGACCCAATCATGCCTCCCTCTCTCCCTGCTCGTTCTCTACCCCTTATGTGCTCTAGCCCGCACTCAAAGCGTGTCACTTGATGACGGCGTTTATACTGTGAGTGTGTCGTCGGCCTTTGTGAGACGACGTAGTTTCTACAAAATTCAAGCGATGAGCTGAGGTCCGCTTCCTGAGCAACGGCGCTTGTGCATTTAAGTGAGGAAGTGAGGGGCGTGGCTTTTGAGGGAGCACAGAGGGGAGGGGATGGGTGTAGACGGAGCAGTGAGGGAGTGCTACTTTCAAAATCATGCTAGTTTTTGTAAATTGCCAACCCTGCCTGAAAGTGATCGGATCTGTAAAGGCTGGCACTTTTTTTTTTTTATCAAAAAGAGAGATGGGACAGAATTTTAATTATACTCTGAAGGCAAAATTATTTTATGCGTCATAACTAGTAGCGCAGCTGACCGGTCTTAGCATCTGCAGCTTTCACACTGACCTTCGTTGTGCTTACATTTGTCCTCTGCATTAAGGGACTGTTACTGACAATTTAAGGGATGTTATTATTGTTGGCTGCTCTGTACAGACAATTGAAATGGTTTGGATTATTTGGCTTAACTGTTTCTTTCTTTTTATTTATACAAGGTGAACAAAGCCTTGCTAGCTGCATTGTGTGCATTACTTTAATTTAAATCCTAACGTTGGCATGCTAACATGCTCCCAGGGAAATTGCTTAATTTCAGAATATTTGTTTTATTTTGCCTTTACGGTGGGATAAGAGGACAACCAAAGACCGGAGAAAGACAAATTTTATGGCAACCTATGCAATAGTGATTGGATTTTTTTTTAGTCCAGAACAAAGTGGATCTGGGGGCGTTGTCATTCCTAGAGCCGTGCAGCTAGGCTACAACAAGGCCTGTAAATCAGATGATTTGCTAAAGTAGTTGCCATTGTTAAACAGTGTTCCTGCTGTGCCTGTGTTGTAATCATTCTTTCTTTCCCCCTATTGGCCTGGCCCTCCCTCCAGCCTTCCCCGCCATGGTAGACAACCACGTCAGCCACAACTACATGGGGGCAATGGAGCCTAAACCTGTTTACCCTCCACCCCAGGTCACCCCGTCCAGGTACTCGCCAGTCCCCCGCCACATGCTCGGGGAGGAAGACTTCACAAGGTAGGTTACAGACCGTCTCCCCCAGGAATGATTCTCCTCCAATACATTACACCCATGCTCTATGAGCGTACGTTGACATTATAAAAACACATAAGGTAGATTGCTCATAGGAATCTTTTGAAGGACTTCTTGTGTGTTGTACTTTAAGGTTAGTGATACAATTGCTGCATTTTTTTTGTTTGTTTTTGTTTTTAGGTATTTCACAAGTTCCTCTTTGTTTCTATTAGCATCAATTGTGTTGCTGTCATTCATTTGTTACATTCTTGTGGTTAACTTACTGATTTGAAATTACTGTAAGAAGTAATTCACCTTTTCCTGCTGATTGTGGCCCTGGTGGTGCATACTATACTTAAGTTAGACAGTATGTGATGGCTGTGTGCTGACCAAATACTTTGCAGAGAGGTCGCTTGTCACTTCTCGTACTTGTTATGACTGTGTTTTAACCTTTGACATCCTATCCAAGGACTGGATCAGAAGTAGCATTCATGGAGGCTTGATTAGAGTGTCCCACGAGGCCTTGAGTCATCTTTACCCACATCTCTAGGGAGCAGGCTGTATTCCCCCTGTGTGCGCAAGTGTGTGTGTTGGTGATTGGTCTGCATGCAGGGATTTAAGCATGTCTGTGTGCTTTACTGTGGAGTACATGTGTTACCGGATGAGTGTGTTATGTGGCCCTGTTACGTCCTTGTACAAGCTGTCTACATGACTTGTATGTGCTTTTGTCCCATCTCTGTTGGTTTGTGTGCTTAATTTGTGTCCTGCACTTGTCCCGTTCACTGTGATTCCTGTACCCCCACAGCAGGGCAGAACCTATTTACAGTGTCATCCACAAACCTGGGGACAGCAAGGGGCCCCAGGCCCTCTACAGAGGCTTCTGTACTTCCCCTGCTCCTTTGTGCCAAGGTCCTCTCCCCTTCTCTGGCAGGTACTAACCTAGTCCATCACGCCTTGCTTAGCTAACCCTCCTCTGTGTAGCAGGATTAAGGCCAAAAAGGGACCTGCCTTTCCTGTAGTGTGTTACGCCGCATTTATGCTCAATTTGCACAAGTAGAAGAAGTAGAGTCAGTGGAGAAAAAATGGGAACAGAAGAAAATGAGAGGATCGGGAAAGTAATTTTTTCAAATTCTTTAGCCTCAGCTTTTTGTCTGTGCTGTGCATGTAAATGTTCGTCCCCTCTTGTCTTATTAACTGCTTTGTATGTTGCTTTAAATTACCCTGCTTTTGATCCTTTTGTATTAAACCATCAGTTATTAATTCAATGCAGATACTATTTATCCTCTCAAAATTTGCAGACTAGTGCAGAAAATGAAACTCTATTAAAACAAAATTACTGTCTAACTGAAATGTTTCAGAAGACATTGACTTATTATAGTTTCACACTTTGAGCAGTGGTTTTGTTCTACTTTTCATATATCAAAAGGTCTACCCTGTAGTCATCATTGGTCTTTGTATTTTCTAACTAGTCTAATCGCATCGGTGACTCAAAATCAATAGGTCCCTGTTTAGTGTTGTTTAAAATGGAGTCGTACCTACTCTTCACAAACACATCTCCACAGGAGTGCAGCCGAAAGGGCTTCACGCTCCCACAAGCTGCCCTATTCCATCTGTCAGGAGGCTTCAATAAATCTGAGCGTGTAGATCAGACCAAGCTACTTTCACTGGGGGACTCCAATGAAGACAATATACATAATATTAAGACAATGTTTTTCCCCTTTTCGGCTGATTCCAAATTATGAAAACCCCTCCTGTTTTGGGAATTTGTTGAACTTAGTTAGAACACTATATGAGCTCTTTCCCTTATTGCTCACCTCATGGATGAATGTTTTTATGTGTTTTGGGTCTAAACCCACCGCTTTTATGTTCCGTGTTTTGTGTTGAGCGTGTTATATTGTCATACCTTGTTAAGTTGTGTTGTATTGTGTGATACCCATACATATACCTTGCACATAAACCAATATCTGTTGCCGTGTGTGTGTGTGCGTGTGCGTGTGAGAAGGAGAGTAAGAAGGATTCCGCTCTTACCTTTTGCTCAAACCAAAAGGGAAGAAAGAAAATACAGCACGGGAGGATAAGAGAGCATCACTGCAGCCACTCAACACAAACAGTATGCTCGGCAGCATTGGAATGTTTCGCCTGCTGCGACATGTATGTAAATATAAACACCAGACCTTGTTGTTTCCATAAATGTAGTGGACAATAAGCGCTTGATCCGGTACAGGCCAGCAGACCGGTAGCAGCAGACAGTCCTGCAGCTGTCATGATTCATCTGCACACTGGGAAAACCAGGCCATGCACCCAGGTCTTACCCCTCTTGTCACCCATGCTGCCAGCACCAATCACACACACCTACTGTACACTAGGACATTTGCTCATGATGTGCTGACACATACAAGCACACCAAAACATACACATGTTTTAAGTGTGATGCAGACACAGACCTGTGGGTATACACCCTGCAAACCAAACAAATTGACAATCAACGCTGCAAATGAGACTTGCATAAATCCAGTGATCATAACTGCACACGTTTGCCTCTAGTGGGTGTATGTGGCATTGTCTTGCACAATCCTAATGGCTGACTGTATTCTCAATCCAAACATAAGCATCCAGCTCCATCAGACTGACAGGCAGATAGCAGACACCTCCGTCTAGCCCTAGCAGATCACCCATTGGCTCTGAGCAGGAGGGGTTATTTTAGATGCTGTAGTAAGTGCAGGCCTCCGCAGAAGTGGAGCAGGCTGGTTGTGAGGAGTGAGTCAGAGCTTGTGTGTCAGCCCTCTGCCCATCTGCACCTCCCCCTCAGTGGTGTCATCACAGTCACATCCCTCGACAACCCCTCCCCTCTTCTACATCTGATATGACCCCCTTCTTCTGCAGATATGTCGGTACTGTACACAGCTCCCTCGTCTCCATCCACGCCGACCCAGATAAGAGATAAAAAAAAAAAACCTTGTGCATGTTTGGCGTAAACATACATTGTGTGCAGTGGTGACAGTGTGCGGAATCACTAAACAAGCCTGCTGCTCCTATCAGGGCTGCAGTTGTTAGATATGCAAAACAATGCTTCTAGTTAGGCTGCTTTGTTCTGGTGAGGCTTTGTGTACAGAAGCCTGTGGACTGCAGCAGCAGGTGAGCTAATCAGTAACTACATGTGTCTCAGAGACACACAGGCACAAGCATAAAAACCTTTGAATCATTAATAACAATGAACACTTTGACCTTTGGATCTGTGTCTTTAAATGCTGCAAAAGCAAATGGAAGTTTAACATAAGAGTAATCAGAGCGGATTCAGCTGAGTTCTCGTCTTGAGTATAATCAAGTCATTCATTTTTCTTAGTCACAGTGAGATGCATGACACATATTAAACTGACCATTTCCTTAGCAGTAAACATTTTTTCCTCTATGTCAAAAAATAACAGGCCATGAAGAAGAGGCAGGTATAAAGAATGCATAGTTCAAATATAGGAAGTGAAACACCATAAAGCAGCACTTTAATTTGATCAGCATATGCCTCCGTATATAAGCTGTGGGGAGGGAGAAAGAGAGACAAAATGCAGCGAGAGGTACTGTCTGTCTGTGGAAAATGGCGTCCATCTGCAGTGTCCACCATTAATCAGCCAAGCAGAGCCAATTACTGGGCTGAGTCCAGGGCAGCATGACCTGCTGAACCCAACAGCCCAGATATCCATTCACAGCTCTAGGATTGACGCTGCGACAGCCCTAGCCAAAAGCAGACGGGGGAAATATAGCTGTGGGTTTTTGGAGGGGGGGGGTTAGAGAAAAGAAGAAATGGCTGGCACAGAGAAAGGGTTTTACCGCTTTCTAACTGTTTACATTCCTGGCACGGATGAAAAGGCAAAGGAGGGGAAGGGAGGGAGGGAGGGGAGGCAGGTCTTGCGATATGGAGTGGATATGGAGGGAGTACTAGATCCCTGCGTTGCGTTTAATACTGCAGGAATTCACTCCCGCTCTCTTTAAAAATGTCCAGCCTATCCAAATCCTGACGAAAAACAGGAAGACAAAGGAAAGGTGAAAGTCTTACTTTATGTGTCCACATATTACACTGTAGTCTGCACATTATTTTCCCGTGAGGATATCTTGCTTTCAGCATTCACAGAGTATGGGGGTGTCAAATCAAGGACCTTAAAGTCGTTAAAGTTACTTTCAAGAGCTTCTCAGTTTGTGTACATGCTGACAAATTAGCAAGAAGCTTCTGGGAATCTGTCTGCGTAGTCTCCAGGGTACTGGGCCCGACAGACAGGAATGCTGGTGTACTGTATTTAAAGAGGGGGGGCTGGACCCCAGGCAGCATCAGAGCAGCAATGAGGGGACAGCAGGGTGTGATAAACCTCCAGTTTAACACATCCAGCTTGATTTGATGTCCTGGTTATTCCAGATGTGAGTCTCTACGTGTACAGAATATGATTTGAGTGGGAGCGTCAGGGTTAAGTGTTAAGTCTTGCCTTGCTGGTGATGATGGGGAGAGAGCTTTGGGTGACAGCCCAAAGAGGAGCTGCTTCCCATCACAGCACACAGGGATGAGATAGGAAACACCAGGCCCCAAACACAGGAGCTTCTAAAACGAGCTCCTCTTTCAGTTGAAGGGCCAGATAGAAAGTGGGGGGGTCGAGGAGCAACGCTGAGCTGAGCAATGGGCCATAGCCACCATGTTCACAGTCAACATCTCATCTTCCATGTCGCTGCCTGAACGCACTGTTAGGAAATGCTCTTTCAGAAGCAAGCACCAGTTCTGGATTGCAAGGTAACCATGGAGATGTGTGTGCGTGTGTGTGTCGAGCAGGGATGAAAAGCTCAAGATGTAGAGTGAGGTTATTTTAAGCCTAACTTGTTTGAAGGCAAGTTTGAGCATGTTTGAAGCCATTTAATAGTTGTTGTTTTTTGTTTTTTTTATCTCCGGCGCTAAAACGATCTGAAAGAATATGGACCAATACAAAAGATCATGATGTTAGACTTTATTTTTTTTCTGTTTCTTAGTCTGCCTTCACTTATTCTAAAGATTCCTGCAAACCCTGAGTCAATATGATGCTGTTTATTGGTCCATTTTAGTGGCCTTCCAAAATAAAACTGCATAGAACTTAAGTTTACTTTAACTAAATATAGTCTAACAGTCTAGTTAAACGTTCTCTGGGCACAGTTTTGCTTTTTAGGTTTTTCAATTGCTTATTTTCTTTTTAGTGGAATAATCAGGGTTTGATTCTGAGAGTCTGGAATGCAGATTCTGCTGCTGTCGATGGGAAAATGGTCTAAACAGCAAGTTAGAGCGCAGCCATTAGGGATTGAGTGGGAATTGTTCCTGTCGACCGCAGCCTGAGGAGACCACTAATGGGAACCATCGGGTGTTTCTGTCAAGAGAGGAAACCGTTTGTGCTTATGCCTCCTGTCTGTCTGTGCATGCATGTATGTTTATGTGAGCATTTGTATGTGAAGGATGTGTGCATGAGTTTGTGTATGTCGAGCTTCCTAGAGAGTGTGTGTTGCAGCTGTGTGAAGTGTGACCTCAGAGGTTTTTTTTTTTTTTTTTTGCTGGACAACAGCAGCAATTTTGGCTTCTTTAGCGTCTTTAAAGTGAGGCATTCTGAATAGCCTGCCGGAGGATGAGTCATAGAGGCTAAAGCTAAAGCACAGCTTCAGTCGGTCTGTCGAGCAGGAGGTGGCTCATTGTGTCTGTGCACATTAAAATAAGTGGGTGTTTTAAGTGTGTACAGGACGTGTATATGTCTGTGAGATTGCCGTGCAAAGCAGAAAGTTGCATAGAAGTTCGAGCCAGGTATTTTGAGCCAGTTGTGCTGCTTCTTGTTATTTGCATTCATTAGATCTAGTGCTGAAGTATTATCAGATTAAGAGAGTTATCTTTGTTAGCGAAATGATTAGTGCATGAATACAATCGTGTGTTAATTATTGTCTTGTGGTGGTGATTAGTCCTGTAGATTAATCATTAACTATTCTATTTATAGCACTCCCTTTCAAATAAATACAGAGCTGCAGAGGAAAATGAAAGATGGCTGTTGAGTGAAACAGTCTCTGTCTTTGCACCCCTGTTCAAGCCTCTTTCTGTTACAGTTTTGGTCATATCTCTCTCTGCCCATCCTCTCCCCTCTCTGTTCTGCCCTTCACCCTGACACGGTCCCTCTGTTTGGCAGGGAGCCGAGGAAGGTGTTGCTGCACAAAGGCTCCACAGGCCTGGGCTTCAACATCGTCGGTGGGGAAGATGGAGAAGGAATCTTCGTATCCTTCATCCTGGCGGGAGGACCGGCTGACCTAAGCGGCGAGCTGAGGAGGGGCGACAGGATTCTATCGGTCAGTATCCCTCAACTTAAAGTTTGTCCTCATCAACAACTGGGAGAGGTTTGAGGAAGTGTTTTTTTTTTTTTTTAATAGAAACCCCCTGTTGTCAGAATAATTAGGAGTGAATTCATTGGGTTGAGAAAGCCAGCAAACATCTGCCCTCCTGAAATATCCTTAAGCATGAAATTAAATCCATAACAACTCAGAGGGAGATTAGCTGTGCTCTGCCAGACAAGAGAATATTATGAATAAATAAAGTATCCAATATCCCTTTACTTGTATTTTAAATCTTTTACACTTTTAAAAACCTAGTGGTTCTCACTAGTTTTGCCTTTTTTTAATTTCAGAGTTACTTATATTGAGATACATATTCACACAATATATGAAAACACTGGTTTGTTCATTTAAAGGGCCAATAAATGTCTTTACTGCCAGAAGAAATAAAATAGCTTTAAAAACATGTGCTGTCGAATGTTTCATTTAAAATATTACATTTCTTTCAATGTACATTTAAACAAATCATTCAGGATTCAGGATATAATCTGGATTTTCTTACTAAAAGTTTTTTTTTGGTTTGCAGGTGAATGGAGTGAACCTAAGGAATGCCACACATGAGCAGGCGGCTGCAGCACTGAAGAGAGCCGGACAGACCGTCACCATCATCGCTCAGTACAGGCCTGAAGGTAAGTGCCATTCTGTCTCCTATCACACATGGATACTTCATGAAACAGTGCCAAAATGAGTTTTAAACTCACAGTTTTGATAGGCTGTATTGGAAAGAGTTCTAATTATAAACCCTAGATTTTTACAAGGATTCTTTAGCGTCTAATGTCCAGTTATTTTGCTATTTGAATGCTGCAGAACCCCACCTAGAGTGTGTATTGGTGTCTCTAAGTACACATATAGTCTGGTTTTCCCATTAAGAATGTTAACAGTAGCAATATAGATCTATAAGACATGGCAACAACATGAGGTAGTAGGACTCAAATGAGATGACATCGCACTTAGTAGCTGATCCATTATAAAATGTATGATATAGCATCAAATCTAAATGACCAAAGAGTAAAAAAAATGTCATTGTTTAGAACCCAGGATTTTCTGTAGGCTTTAAATAACACAGATTATAGACAAAATAAAACCAGTTTCAAATAATTTTACATTCAGTATTTTGAGAAAAATGTTGCATTGTGGGCTTGAGTATTAGTAGTTCATGAAGTTAATGCTTACAGCCTGATAGCTGTAAACGGTTTCATAATTTGTTGGCACTGATAATACAAACCACTTTCGTTTTCTTACCTGAGCCTTTGGGGCATTCTTTTTTTGCTCTTTATTTTTAATGTATAAAAAAATGTTTAAAAAATAAAATAAGGTGCACTGTGTCACTTTAGAGTCTCTGCTGGTTACTTGACAAAAACACTCCAGGAAGATTGTATGGCTCCTACATACTAGTAAAATGACAACGGGTTGGTTTTTGCAGTCATTTGTTTTGAATTGATGTAACAGCTGCCTTCATTTCTCCAATGCAGCACTTTCCATTTTCTTATACACAAAGAATAGAAACACACTTCCAACACTTTTGTGTTGTCAGCTCTTACCAGGCTGGAAAAAGCACTGTCAAGTTGCATTGTGGGATATGTAGGATCCCGTGCGGTGTAGCCAGGTCCGCTTATGATAAGCGACTTTGGGCTTGTTTTTCTGCAAAATGGCTTACAAATATTGTTTGTGTGTTTGTTTTATTTGGATCCCCATTAGCCTCAGCATAGCGAGAAGCTATTCTTCCTGGGGTCCGCAGTTTATATTGTGACAATACATTTTACAAATTCACATTACATGTTATTCTTTTCACACTACACAAACATTCCACAACATTTCTTCAATAACTAAAAATAATAGACAATTGACATAAATGAACAAAAAACCCAAAAGAAACAGACAAACACAAAGGCTCCGTCTGATTTACAGCATCTAAGACATGACATGGTTCCACAAAAAAAAGGCCCAGCAGTCCTTTCAGTACTGACTAAAGTTTCTCCGTAGATAATGTTCTTTAATACTTCTTTTAAAACTGTATACAGTGCTTTGGTGTTTAACATTACTTGGGATTGAATTGCATTGTTCTGTATGTTACTGAACGTTGAGATGCTGATGTTCTTAATTTAGGAAGAGTAAAAACCTTGTTGGATAATGGTGTGTCAGTTGCGTGTTGCGGTTTTTGGCAGCTGCTTATTTGGTTGTGTCTCCCTGGCTCCCTGTATGAACCCCTCCTGTTTCTCTCCCAGCTCAATCCAATAAAGCGTAGCACACATTTTTGTCATGTTGCATGATCCCAGTTTAGAATTAGAATTGTTCTGGGACCTGTCATCAATCTTCTGAAATTGTGTTTGTTGTTGTTTCAAAAGTCTGAATTTGCCTAGACACATTCATCCTCAGCCTAAAACGTGCAAAAGTTATAGTATATTGTTGATTTCATATAAATAGGCCTATATCAGGGGTGGGCAACTGGCGGCACCCCATCAACCCTCAATTTTGTACATATCAATTAATTGGAAACAAAAACATGACAAAATCTGCCATCAAATCATGAAAACCAGAAATATGTCCATAATAAATATTTGATCACTGGTATATGTTGAGTTAAATTTGTAGAGAGAGAGAGAGAGAGAGAGAGAGAGAGAGAGAGAGAGGAAATAAAAAACCCTGATTGCTTGTTTATCTCGCGAGATCTGGCAACACTGATCCCCGCACTGTTGCACTTCATTGGTTCATTGAGGTGATGAAAGTCAGGATAACTTCGTTCCTTCCTTCTGCTTCGATATTTACACAATTTCTAACCCGGTTTCCGTTGCACGATTAAAATCCGTCGCGACACTAATAATCACCGCGCTTTTTCTCGTAACATCGCGATGAAATATCGTGTCTACCTGCAGCAGGATGTGAGATAAATGACTGGCTGCAAATGAGGGCAGGCAGTCTGTATTCATGTTTAGGGGCGGCACTTCAGTGAGCAGCCTGAAGTGTTGAGACAACTGCAAGGCGGGCAAACGAACCGCTGTTGTCCTTCCCCCCCCCCTCCCCTCCCTCCGTTCAAACTCCTGCGAGCAGCCGCTGTTCGTGGATACAAAACCCCGCACGCCAATGGAAAGGCGATACTAAACGGAGTGCTGCTTCTCTTCCGACAAGAGAGTAAAGTTGAAACGGGAAGGTTGGAGGACGACCCAAAAACTCCCAACTTGTATCTGTCTACCAGCACTGTGCGGATGGGGGATGGGCTCGAATAATACAACAGCAAAGCCGAGCAGAAGAAGCCACATGAACTAATGGATGGATGGAAGAAACTACCGGAATATAAAACCCACTGTTTCAATTAATTGAGGTGAGACGAGGAAGCGAGATTGCTGGGGACTCATTGAAACAGGAACACACAAAAAACTGAAGCGCCCTGTCGTTGTTGAACAGGTTTGTCTGGGCTGCTACTGTACAGAAGAGAGAGAGAGTGTGTGTGTGTGTGTGTGTGAGTGTGTGTGTGTGTGGGGCTCGTCCTTGATGTAACCTGTAAGATAGTTTCACTCCAGGAGTGTAACTTAGGTTTGTTTTATGTTTGGACCACTTTAAAGCAAGTGTTATTAAGTCAAGGTGGAGATAAGCTCTTTTTTTTTTTTTTTTTGAAAACAGCAATCGAAATTAACAAGTAATAGTGGCAGACATTGGAAAGCCTCACCCTCACTGTATTGTTAATACAGCTATTTAAGCCGTAAACCCTGTCATTATCTGGAATATGTTCTTCTGAGCCTTTTTTATATCAATTAATTTCATACTCGAATCCATTTTGAAGTGGCTATTCGTTGTGATTTATATGCCACAGGTTTGATTGAGTCACTTTAACCACCCTGCTTTACTGTCCTTATGTAACTTAAACCTTAAGGTGGGAACACAGAGGTGTGGTCAAACAGATGTGTGTCAGCTTGGTTGTGGTGTCTTGAAACAGTGACCTAACCTGTGAACTCACCTTTTTTTTTTTCATTTGAATTACACTTTATGTCACTGACACTGCAGACTTTGAAACCTAAAGTGTCTGACAAGAAGTCCAGGCTGACTAATCCTTCGTCATATCTTTTTGAATTAGGTTATTTTACAACAGTACACCACTTGCTCTCTGTTGCTGTGAAAGAAATTAGGACTTTGTACAGAGCTACAGCTATTTTGGCACTTGCACTTTCCTTTGTGTTTTTTCATTGCTTGCCTACCTGAGCATGCTTCAGTAATGCTATGACAACAATAGAAAGGATATTGTGAGCTTTAGATTTAGGCTGACTTCTCGGGTTGGACTATGACCGGAATGTGAAGGGGCATAAGTTGAAGCATGCTCTTACCCTTTATTCCCTTTTTTTTTCTTCCAATAACACACAATCCCTTAATGTCCAATAAGCCTCCAAGGTCATTGAAGTTGAGGTTGGATAGGATCAGTGATTTGGCAGGGACCTGAGCAGAGAAAAAAGGAACGCCTGTTGGGATCAAAACTGACAATATCGGGGCATAGGTGCTACAAAATACTCATAATAATGCTTCATTCTTGTCTATTTGAGTTGATGTCTCGCATGCCAAACCAGTCGAGCAGCATCTTGAATAACGATGTGGTTAGTTGAAGGGAACCTTTGTTTTCCATACCAAATTATGCTTTCAGCTCTGCGCCCCCTTTGTAACCCCCGTGAAGGACAGTTATCTGTTTGTGCACAATGCGTAACTACTCCAAACACACAAGTCGAGTGCTGGCAAATGATTGACTTCCTGCTTCCCCTCTGTTGAACTGAGATCTGTTTGCAGTCATTTTTCTGGTATCCTAAAGCAGAGTGTGGCATGTTGTTTGTGTTGAGTTTGGAATAGGAGGAATTCCTGATGAGCTGGAAAAGTAAAGTCGGACAGAGGGAGAAGAGGAAGAGATGAATAGTGGTTGTGGAGAGCACACTGCTTCAGAGGCTGTCCTCAGTAGTCAAAGGGTCCTAGGACCTCTGATAGAGGGCCAGCACAAGAGACTACAAGAAGCCAAAACATTGTGCACAGGCTGCAACAGGAGGCCCCCTGATTCTCATTGGCTTACTGGTGAATCACTAAGTCTGAAACTCACTTAGATATTTAAAGAATTTACATGAAGGGTTTATTTCCAGACACCACCTTGCACCACTATCAGGGCTGTAATTACACTGAAATCTTTGCATGTTGGAAATGGGAGGGGTGCCATAGAGGAAATGTGCAACTCTGAGCGCCCTCACAAAACTACCACCACTGGCATTACTGAAGATTTTGGAGAAACAGTTGAAGCAGGGTCTGCATGCTCCTCCAGCAGTATATTACATTGGGGACGGGATTTGTGTCTTCACTGGCTCGACTCTCCTGCAGAACATAACACACTCTCACATTACATGTACATGCCTGCTGTGTTGCATAACTGGATCAAAAGAGAAGCGACCGTCCCCCAAAATAAAAAAGCTGCACGACTAATGAGGACACGCAGTGGGAGTGAGAGATACAGAGTAGTCCCAGTTTCTATTAGCTGCCTTTTCATCCTGTGGGTCACTCCTAAAAATATAGACTTGCTCTCATCGTATTAAGTTGTTTCAGGGATAGATATTTAGCATTATAGACTGCCATTTCCCCGTATTTAAAAGGTGTCTTTTCAAGTAGGGATTTTTGATTAAGAGCTGGACTAATCAAGAACGTAGTAATAAACTTGGCACACATGACTCATTCTTAACTAGGTAGATTCAGACTCATTGATTTGTGATTAGGTTAAAATGTCTCTTCCTTTGGATGTCCCTGTGTGTTCATTAAATACATGTACTCTACAATACAAATAGCATTTTGTGCATAATTATATGTTATCTTTTTAATTTTGTTTGGGTGTTTGTTAAATAATTGCTGGGAGAGAGGGCAGATGAGCAGCAGTGCTTAGTCATTGTATTAATCTTTCTGCTCTTTTTTTTATTTCTGGTCCTATTTATTTGATGACTCAAATACTTTGCAGGCGTTTATATAATGTTTGACTCAAAGTTAATTTGGATTCTACCTCATGAAGAGGTTTATGAACTTTTCATTAATAAAACATGCACTTGTGATTTTTAAGTCTTTGGTTTTGAATTGATCTTTGAAAGGCTAGGTGAGGGTGGCGACAAAATAGAAACATATCAAATAGGAGTTAAAGAGAAGTACATGAGGTGGAGTCATGTAAGTTCTTTGTCAGAAACAGACCGCCGTTTGAGTACCAACTGAAATCTCTGAATTTGGTATCAAATGATAGCGAGTGTAGATCAGATAGAAGTGTTAACTTAATAAATTGTGTGCTTCAAAGTGCGGAAGAGACAGCTTTTCATTCCAGCAAAATTGCCAAGAGGTGTTAATGCATGACATGAAAGAAAACAGATAAAGTTAAATAGAACAACAAAGTATCTGCTCCATTGTCATCAATACACAATCCAGCTATGAGGGTTGTGGTGTGTTCCATTTACCTCGGCTGTCGAAGCTGGTAATGACGTCACACCTGAGTTGACCGCATTCCAGTAATGAGTTGGCATCAAGTCGGACGAGCAACATGGACGCCTCCAGGATCACCTTTGTTTTGTCAATCAGGCGATAACACACTACATGATGGATTGTGCGCGAAATTAACATGACGTCATTTCACAGATCGAAGTTGCGCAATGATACTATAGGTGTGTTTGATTTAGATACACAAAAACAAGGCTTAGGGCGCACTCACACTAGACGAAGTTGTCCTGTAGCGTGCTAAGCGTCATTAGCGCGGGGGAACTGAGTTTCCGAGTCGTAGTTCAAACTTCAGGGGGGGGCGTTCCTAATGACGTATCCGATGGCAACACGGAATTCCCGAATTCCAAGATCAAATGAAACGCCCCATAAACACCAGACTGATTAATCCTATCGGGATTGGTTTAGTGCATCCTTAGTCAGAACCATATGGTGAGGCAACATGTGCACCACTTATATGGGCCTCAATTGATTAATAACTGATCATTAGTTTTGACAGTTATCTACTTGTGAGGACTGAATAATTCATTTCAGTGTAATGGCTTGCTCTTTAATGAAACTCTTGTGATACGTGATCCTGATTGACCAGTATCATGGTGCTTTCAAAGAACTGGATCCTTTAATGCCGATCCTTCCTTTGTTTGTGTAACCAGTGGATACTTCCTTTTATGACTTTGGAATATCTGTAAACCGAAAGCAAGTCCTTGGAAAAGTGCTGTAGATTGATAAGTGTTTTAAGAGATGATTACGTTGTTCCCCCCCCCCAAGTATTACGAAGATGTTGTTGTGTACTATACGCTAGGTTATTATGTATTTTGGTGTCATTGTATTTGACATGTTAGTAACACGGGTAATGCAGCTGAATGTTTTGCTTGTTCACATTCCTAACAGCCCTCTCTCAGCAGCACAGCTCTCAGCCCGTCAGGTTGGCCGTATTGTTACATAGGTCATTAAGACTTGCTCTGTATATTTAGCTATTCTTTGTCTTGTCTCTCAACCCCTCCTCTCCGAGGCTGGCTTTCTCCTGTACCTCCAATGTTTGAAAGCCAAGTGGACTAGTCTGAATAGCTGCTTCCGCATGTGCTGTCCCAGGAGTGCTAGAAGTTGCTCTTGGTTACAGGCAGTCAGGCGGTGTCTGGTTACCTCACCTTGCAGAGTCACCCTGTTGTATTGTTAACCCTTTGAGCAGAGACCAGGGTCAGGAGCTGGCAGGAGGCCTGGGGCAAGGTCCTGTGTTTGTTCTGAATCCCCTTAGCTTTCGGCAAGGGGGGGGTTAGAGTTCAGCAATCTGAGTTTGTTTTTGCACCTGCCCAGAATGTTTCCGCGAGCTGGGAATGACTTCAGCTAAATTTTCTTTGTAGTCATGGCTGTTTGCTTTTCAAGGCTACTTGTAGGCTTGTTTGACAGAATCCGGACTTTGATCTCTTGTTATTCACGTTACAGGAAGTGTTGTCTGCTATGGATGATTGAGCTGTAAGGTAGGAGTCCGCACATTAAAGGCATGACATTAAAAGAGATGTGTCGAATCGTTTTATAAAATACCTTCCAGCAGTTGTTCTTCGAGGCTAATTATGATTAAGACCGAAATGTTGTGTCATTGGAGTAATAGTTCACATGATCATATGCCTTTTATGATGTGATAATAGTTTGTTTATTTTGTGTACAGCTTAATTCCTGCATTCAACATTAAAAATGACTTCGCATATTCGTTAAAACATTAATTGCTTTTCTTTCATCAGCAGTGTAAATTATAAAACCGTCTAACATCTTGGTGCAGAGCAAATATGTGCACCTTTGTTGCGCCCTTAACATCGCTTTTGTGTGATCACGAGCCACCTAGCTGACTTGTTTTTCTAGCTGCATCTGCTGCTCTGTTTATCTTGCCCTGTGCTGTGTGCTGTGGTGGCCTAGCTTGTTCCAGCAGCCTGAGCACAGAGGATGCGGCGCACAGCAGGCTTAATGAGAGCATTGTTAATGAGCAGGTCCATGTGGATTCATATATCATCCCTGTGCTCCTGAGCAGCAACTGGATTCACCCACCTATGACAAATGGTCCAGCATTGGAAGTTGTTGGAGGTCTTCCCTTTTTTTTTTTTTTTTTAACTACCCTAAAAAGCCCACGTTGAACTTAATTAATCTGTGTAATTAATTACCTGACATGAGACATTACTGGATGTGTAAGGCAGATCTGTGATAAACCATCTGTTCCTGGGGTCATTAATCAGCCGAAGGATTCGCTGAACCTTCTCTCTGTTCACTCCAGCTCACTGCAGCGTTAACTGAAACTGAAATGTTCTAGGGAAACTAGAGGGCACAGTCCAATGCTTTTTTTTTTTGTTGGCATCTTTATTCAACATTGTCAATAAAAGTTTGACCTTTGATTTAACAACCTAAAACCCTAAACTGTGAAAATATGCTTGAGGACCTATTTTTGGAATGTATTTTTTATTTTTTATTTTTTTACAGAGTTATTTTTGTTTGTTTCTTCCAATACAGAGTATAGCCGCTTTGAGTCCAAGATCCACGACTTGAGGGAGCAGATGATGAACAGCAGCATGAGCTCAGGATCAGGCTCCCTGCGTACCAGTGAGAAACGCTCCCTCTATGTCAGGTAAACACCCATACACACACACACACACACACACACAAACAGTCATACATGCACTCATAACTTCATATTCTAAGATCTGTAGGCAAAATAGGCACTCTTGCATAATACACCTTTTGTATGCCTGTGGGGGAGGCTACAGCCTGGATGCACATGTTGTCAGTTACAGCAGCAGGACATTTATTGCATAGATCATCTCATGAAACACGAAACCTAACATTTATCTTCTCGTAGGGAAACATTTGATTGAGGGCATTGTGTTGGTACTTTTAATCAACATCAAAGGGCTGATGGACAGGTAACCCCTGTTGTTGTTTTGATGCCTTGTTTGACATTGACTCTGCTTTGTGTAATGTAGATTGACTGCGGGGCTTGTTGATGTGACCTGTGTTATGCCACTTTGGGCCAGTTGCCAATCTGGACAGAGGCTCATTTAGGAATTAAAACAGGTGGCGTCCTTCTGTTCACAGAGGCCTCGCAGGGGTCAAGGTGAAAGATGTGTGATGTAGTTCCCCATGTCTACTGACGCGCTAATGTACATCACAACAGCATTGACCATATTCACACAGCAGCCAATTTACTCACCAGCAGGGTGAGGAGTGGAAATTCATCACGTTACGTCCCAGGTTATATTCCCAGCACACTCAGCATCACAGATAGACACAAGCTTACTAGCAGCTAATTTATAATCAATATACCTGTCAGCTGGAAATATTCCCTGTTGTTTGCAGGCTCAATCAGGCTTTGCTCCCACTGTGCGAGTGTGTGAAGTCATATGACCAAAATTTCAAACATGCCAGAAAATAATCCGACCGGTTAGGATCATCTGATCAGGCCTTGATCGGCTGGCGTGCCTCAGTTTACACTGCACATTCGGCACCTCAGAATCAGTCGTGTGACTCAAAAATCAGGTCTAAATCGGCCTAAAATTGTCCAGTGTGCACCCTGCCTACCTAACAAATCAATGCTTCAAATCCTACCCAGAAATAAAAAAGACAATAGATATTGAGAATCCTGAGGAACATCAGTCGTCATCAAACTTCAGAAAACAGCTTGTAGAAGCATTCAGCAAATTACAAGCTCAACTTCCTGACAATCCAAGACTTTCAACAATCATACTGTGATATAACTACATCATGATAATGCTAGCAAGGAAATAGTTAACAAGCTAAATAATACCATAGGTAAAGCTAGCTTATGTAATTGTTGTCCTTACATGCATTAAATGTTGTCTAATACCAACTAATGTTTTTTTATCAACTTCATAAACTCTTGTTTTTGACTATCTATTATCTTTTTGCTTGTTCATTGAGAAACCATGATTTGATAATGATTTTTCAGATTCCTTTCATTTTTACAACTTTCAACCAGGAACAAATTTGCACAACATCAAAACAGCAGTTAAACATACAGTATGTCAATTCTTCCGCAAGGGGGCTTGCAATCAAAGCGATAACAAAAGATGACTTAGGGGCTGGCAGGGAAGTGATTCTCTCTGATACTCCATCCCCACCCCCCAAATTTACATGATGTTTTTTTTATCACAGCAGCACATACAGCAACAGTACAGCAGCTTTCAGTAGCTGTCCTCGCTTACTTATGCCGAAGTCTTTGACGTAACATCCGGTGTGTCCAAGTCAACGATAAACACGTATTGTCTGTCACAGTGCCGCCACAAAAGAAAAGGGCCATCAAAACCATAAAATTAAGGATTTGTCTGGCTTTGATATCTGTTGGAAATATTAGAGGTAATGTAAGTACTGTCATGAGTGTCATGTCACAGGAAAATGGCTGCTGATTGAATACAGGATACATCAAACGTGTATCTGGTGTTCTCTCATTGGGCGACTGCTTTAAAGAGAGAAGCATTAACTTGTGTGAATCATGCCTCTCTTATAGACTGGCTCCCACGAGGCATGTAGAGCCTAGCCTGCTCCTGAGCGGGTGACTAAGCTCACAGTTATGTTGGGAAAGCTGTCTAGTTAGCTGGCTGATGTAGGAGCCGCCATGTCCTCTCAGTCTCTGGAATGTGGAGGCGTTAAGCCTCTGAGGTGTTCTCAAAAAAAAAAAAAAAAAGAGTCACATGTGCTTTCAGTCTTTTTGAAACACTATGAATATATCAAGGTGACAAAACGTGGGTAAGCTTTGAATTTCACTTTAACTTGTACACTTGCTTTAAATGTATTACCTGTTAGGAAGATGAGCAGTAAGACCTCTGACCAATTGAATGATTCAGCAGTACTGTACTTTTATTGCTAGCCAAAGTTAATATTTAGCGGGAATACTATGACGGAACCCTTTTCCCTTAGGGAGAAAAGATAATTTAGCCACTTCATGTCTGTCCACTGCAAAATGATAAATGGCCTACAGCTATAGGCTTGTTGGTCAAGTTAAGTTTCAACCTTTAAAGCAGGTATGAATACCTTGAGGAAGTTGTTGTTGGCTGACCTGTCTGACAAGATGGTGATGCCCTCAGATGTAAAATAAACACTATGTGTTTGTGGTGGAAAGTATGTGGCAACAGCAGTTACAAATGTGGAAACTTACAGATTGCATGCTTTACATTATTACTTCATGTTTTTCTAGGGCTGTCGATGTTAACACGTTAACCCCTGTGATCAATCTAGAGACCTTAACATGTTTATTCATTTATAATGGATATTAATCATATGACAATCAATAACGTTTTGAAAATACAGAATAAATAGGAGCGTAATAAAATGTAATGCTCGACTTGTATTAAAAGCCAACGCAAAGAAGTGTCTTAAGCAGTGAACATTTTCAATGGATTGAGCATTTCTGCTGTTGAGCAGCCACTGCAAAGGCTTGGTCATCTAGGGTTTGAATCCTGTATCTAGGAACATCCGAGAGCGTCTGCTGTGGCGCTCTGACTGAAGCATGTTGGTGCAACAGCTCAGACCAATAAGAAGTTGCCAACTCATTTCAAGTTTTAAAAACAAGTACCAGTAATAACATCTTAGACTTAGACTTAGACTTTCTTTATTGTCATTCAAACTTGTACTTTACAGTGCAGATAAGAACGAAATTTCGTTGCATTTGGCTCGTTGTAGTGCAGGATAAAAACAGCAGCATGTATTTACATATAAAAAATAAAATCTTCAGCTGTATTCTGAAGCTTACACAGAGCCTGGGAAGAGAAGTCAGTACATGAGTGATAATGTGGTCACGTTGTCTTTCTCCCCGGTCAGAAGTCGGGAAGCTGCGTTCTGAACCGGCTTCAAGCGCTGAAGAGAAAACTGATCCGCACCAACATACGAAGAGTTACAATAATCTAAATCTAAAAAGAGATGTAATAAACATGTGAACGACTCTCTCAAACTCATCTGTAGGGAGATAGGGCGTTACGTTTCCCATCAGTCTCAGCTGAACAATGGCTGGTCTTCACCACCGAGTCACATTGGTCAAACATGAAATTGAAAAGTGATGCCGACTCAACAGAGAAAGGGAGACATGCACTCATACTGAGTAGTAGAAAAAAAGTGTGTGGTCATGGAAAGAAGTTATATATAAAGTTATGTTGACTCTCAGTGAAATATAATAACAGCAGTGCAGACTGGAGTTTGTCTTCACTGGGAAAAAAAACAGACAAAATATCAGCGTCATTAACACATAGATGCCCATTATGAAAACGGTTTCCCCACCGCGCTGCATTATCATGAACATCTGTAATAGAGGCACCTTGCGCTAGGTAAGCCCTTAATTGAAACATGCTTATGTGCTCCAGTTGGGGTGTGTGGCAATATCTGGCTGAAATTGTGCAAAGTGCTAACATATTTGTTTGAGTGGCCCTGTGTCTGCCCCCATATTTGTAGTGGTGTATGAAATAAGCTGGGTGCTCAGGTCATTTTGAATAGGTGTCATGTGTGGATCCAGTGGGTGCCACACTTCAAATCCTACATCAACTGTTTGGTCCCTGGTGCAGCAGACTACTAGTGGCTTTCTTTTCAATTGAATGTGGCTCATTTCAGCTAATTTGGGAAAGTAAATTACAAGTCTTTTAAAATGTCTTAACATAAAATACGAGTATTTAAAAAATTTGATTTATCCATAATTTTTCACAGCATCTACAGAGATGAATAAAAATCTTTTTTTTAAATCAATGTACAGCGCAAGTTTTTTCTGTGCTGCCTTGCATGCTCTCAGACCTCTGACCTTGAATTTTGAGTATACACATTAGAGGTAGCCATCAAGCTATTGTACCGGTTCTATAATATAAGGTTTATTATGTTATCCCTGAACATGCCCGGCTAATGTTTTAATCCCATGCTAGCTAAATGAGAGAGGCCTACTCCTTGTCAACATCCACATTTTGGATTGAAATACTTGAAAGAGCTCGAATTTCACTCTTTTAAAAGCTGAATGAACCTAGCATAATGAAAAAGTTCTAGAAAAACTTAAGAGCAATCATTGGGGATCATGGCAGCCATTCTGTGCCAAGTTTAGACACAGACAGTTATTTGATCTTGACACATGGAGGAACGTCTACACTAACTCAAAGATGAAACGAAAGAAAGTGCTTCAACCCAGTCCTTTGTTTTTCTGCAGAGCTTTGTTCGACTATGATCGAACGAGGGACAGCTGTCTGCCCAGCCAAGGCTTGAGCTTCTCTTACGGTGATATCCTCCACGTCATAAACGCTTCTGACGACGAGTGGTGGCAGGCGAGGCTGGTCACGCCACATGGAGAGAGCGAGCAGATTGGGGTCATTCCAAGCAAGAAAAGGTACACTTACTCTTCATTTGATAGTGGAGCTAATGCTAGACAGAAAGTGAGTGTGATTACTACCATTCATACACAGCTGAATGTTTTTCCCTCAATTTCTCTTTTATTCTTAGAGTGGAGAAGAAGGAGCGGGCTAGGTTAAAAACAGTCAAGTTCCACGCCAGGACAGGAATGATTGAGTCGAACAGGGTAAGTGTAGAGGGACCAGCTGCTCCGTGCCCCGGTGCCAGAGAGGCTGTCTTCAGAGCTGCTGCTGGGCTCCCAGGGAGATGGCCTACTTCCCCCTGAGTGTGGGAAAGAGACCAGCACCTGCTCACTGAAGCGAGCACAAAAAGTGCTCTTATTACTGTATAGATTACACAGAAGCTGAGATGAGCGCTCTCTGTAACCTCCAAAGCTTATGCACTCATTGATATAAAGAAATGAGCACTTTTCAAATGTTAGTACATTTAATCACAGTGTGCTCTGTCAAATGTGCAAAAGAGGTGTAAATCGGATGTAATGTCTTTGTATAATCTATAATACAAGCTGACTTAATTTATGGAAATGCAACATGTTTTGCCATTCATTTCCACCCATTACCTGCTTCTCATTTTCATTATTCGACGTGTATCCTCTGTTAACATTTCATTTGTTTTTGTGTTGTTGTTGTTGTTTTTTTTTGCATGGGTGTCGAGTACCCTCATTGAAACCCATTCTGTTTTGTTTTCACCCTCTCATTCTTCCCCTCCTCCCCCCCTTCTCACCCACACATCGACAAAGCAGCCAGTCAAAGTAAAGCGCAAAAAAAGCTTCAACCTTTCACGCAAGTTCCCGTTTTACAAGAGCAAGGAGAATATTGTGCAGGAGTTGGTGGAGTCTGAACGTGAGTACCAGCTGTGTGATGGAGGGGGGGTAGTTGTTGTTTTCCTCCTTTCCCCCTTCATGCTTCTGTTCTGTCTCTCAGCTTCCATCTATCAGCTCACCTCGAGGGATGGTTTGCGCGATGGCACTGCTTTCCATCCCTCTCTCACCGTCCCAGAGGGAAGCTCCACATGCAGAGCCGGCATCCGGCTGGAGTTGTGGGCTTCTCTCTGGTGTGTCTGTGCATCTACGGGCTCCAGAGGAGTGTCTAGCTGCGTGTGCTGCGTGCTCTTGTGGCTGCATTAACACAGAGGCCTCTTTACACTTTGATGCTACTCTTCGTATAAGTCCTGATCAATTCTCCAGTCAGTCACTGACCCAAACAGGAGGACTCTCATTGACTGGACTGAAGCTTTAACACTTAACAGGTCAAAATCCGGCATTAATGGGATTTGGTTTGTGTAATTGAAAGGCCGAGGCTTACTATGAACAAAGTGGGGCTCAGGCTCAATTAGTAGAGCACAGCGCCATGTGTCAGTGGGCCAAGCGAGCACGACGCGGCACTCCTCTCCCTCTGTGCCCCGACTCTCACTAACCTCTTCTTCTTCCTGTCTGCTCTCTTCTCTTGGTTTCTGCTCTCACCTGTCGGGACACCTAGGACTTCCCAGGGTTAAGCGATGACTTTTATGGATCAAAGAGTTTGAGTAAGTGTGTGGTTGTACCGTGTCAAGCAGCTGCCCCTTGAGCTTAGAGGAAAAAAATGCTTTGTCACTGCAAACTTAGCTGGGAATGCTGAACCACACACATTTAATAGAGGGACACACAATATATATATATATATATATATATATATACACAGTATATATATTTGTTTTTCTTTTCTTTGGAGAGCCTTTGCGTAGTGATTTTCCACATAAAATAGGTTTATTTTCTGTCATGCATAAATTCTCTATTTCAGCTGCTTAATTGCTGATCTGTGAATTTTTATTTAATATGTATATTAAGATAATAATTCATTGCAAAAAAATAAGTTTTATCAGATAAGGTTGCACAGAATGCTGAGCTATATTTATGACACCAGATTCAGCCAGCTCCTGCCTCCCCTCTGTGGAAGGCATAACTCTTTATGTTTTCTTAGTCATTCATATGAGGTCCGCCACCGGCACAGATCTAGCAATAGGAAACACTGGTCGGGGAATAGCAGGTCATTTGGGAGTTTGTCACAGGAAACACTTAATTTCCTATCGCTTGTACCTAAAACCACTTCCCTAATATTACACAAGCATGGCTGCTGCACCAAGCAAGACTTCTGCTTTCTTTATCCCTGTTTTTAATAGCCTAGATGCTGAGAAAAAGAGTGCTTCCCCCGCCACCCCTACGCTGTTGAGGAAGGGGAATGATTTTTTTTAACCCATAAGAAGAGTACGGATATAAATTCAACTTTGGCTCTACTGTATTTGAAATAACCTGCAACTGGCTTTTTTTTTTACTCTTCCAGAATGCCTGACATCCAACACAAGCGACAGTGAAAGCAGTTCGAGTGAGTCACTCTCATCTCTCTCTCTGTTTCTGGTTTGTTTTACACTGCCCACATAGATGATTAACATGGTACATGTTTTAAAATTCACTTGTGATATGACACCTGTAAATTAATATTCCTTTTTTGGTGTTTAATTGCCCATCATAAATTGAATCTATTTCTTGAAAGTGAGATGGCAAATATCTGATCAGGATGATGTTTTGTGTAATTACAGAGGGACAAGAGGACACAATTCTTTCCTATGAGCCAGTCATACGACAGGAAAGTGAGTGGATCACTTGTCATACATAAAATGCTGCACAAGTCGAAAAATGGATGTGTATATATGTATTTTACTACACTGTCCTCACCTGCTTTCTCTGTCTCCAACGTAGTTCACTACACAAGACCTGTGATCATATTGGGTCCAATGAAGGACAGAGTAAATGATGACCTCATCTCTGAGTTTCCCCACAAGTTTGGCTCCTGCGTACCCCGTGAGTTTACAGAAACACAACAGATCCAAACGGCAATGTGAACATAAAGCAATGAAAAAATAAATTGATTCCCCTCTTCAGATACGACTCGTCCGAGGCGAGAAAACGAGATGGACGGCCAGGACTACCACTTTGTGGGCTCGCGGGAGCAAATGGAGAAAGACATTCAGGATAATAAATTCATTGAGGCTGGCCAGTTCAACGAGAACCTGTATGGGACGAGCATCTTGTCCGTCAGAACTGTGGCCGAGAGGGTAGGTACCAAGTCTGGTTTCTCTGCAGGGTTACTGTTGGAGGCCTGTTAGCTTGCTCGATTGATCAAAAAGCATTTTTTTTTTTTGTGAAGTCTAAATTGTATAGTCTTTTATAAAACGTCCCTGTACATGCTTCCAGGGGAAACACTGCATACTGGATGTGTCTGGGAATGCCATAAAAAGACTGCAGCAAGCACAACTTTATCCGATTGCCATCTTTATTAAACCAAAATCTATTGAAGCCCTCATGTAAGTTTGAGCTTTGTTAACACACTCTGGTAAAGATTTCACTGAAAATAAGTGTCTGTGACTCTTAACTAATCTACTTTTACTTTCCAGGGAAATGAATAAGAGGCAGACGTACGAGCAAGCCAATAAAGTCTTTGACAAGGCAGTGAAGCTGGAGCAAGACTTTGGAGAGTTTTTCACAGGTTGGTGTCAGCTTTTTTCTATTTTCTACAATTTTTGTTTAATTCATCAGTCAGTTTCTAAATATATTGATCCTCTCAAGTATAAGGGTTTGATGCTTTTCTTTTTCATTTATGATAGAAAATGACAAGTCTTTTGGTTGATTTAAACTCTGTATTGAGGGACATAATGAAGACTATTTGTTTTGAAAAATCTGTATATTGTGAAATGTATTTATTAGGGTTGTAAGTCAAAGCCCTACTTTTAAAATGTGTAGTGATTAATTTGACTAATCTTTTCCGTCTCCAGTTTTCATGCAACTAACAGATAGATATAGATATATATATTTTAATGTTCCTGTGTGTTTGTGTCTCCAGCTATCGTACAGGGTGACTCACTAGAGGAGATCTACAACAAAATCAAGCTAATCATCGAGGAGCAGTCTGGTCCCTACATCTGGATCCCCTCCTCAGAGAAGCTCTGAGCTCCCTGCTGTCTCCTCTGCATCAGTGCAGAGCTCCCCTCCTGCCTCCCAGAGACCCCACCCAAGCCCAAAATAGCCCCCCACCCCTCCTCACCTCCTTTTTGCAGATATGTTTCATATCAAGTTTTAGTGTCATCATTATGTTACTCTAAATGAAAAAGAAGTCTTATCACCATTACTGTGACTGTGCACATCCCTGCATGAGTTTCTCAACAAATCCATTCAAGACTGGAAATGCCATTCCAAAGGAATTTGTCAAATGAAAACAAAAGGGAAGAGGAATATATCCTTTTGTGAACTGGAACTGACTGAAGATCAGAATGTTTTACAGAAATCTGGGGAGAGGAGATGGGATTCAAAACGAAGTTGCAGGGAAACAAGAGACAAATCATACCAAGTTGGAACACTTTGTAAATGTTCATCAAATCACATTTAAAAAGACACGCAAGATGAGAAGTGAAGACCAATTAAGGTTTGTTTGTTTTTTTTCTAAAAAGACTGGTTAAAATCAAGCCCTGCTGATGGTACTGTTCATGGAGTTCTCTCTCTTGTCTATAATGACTGAGGAAATTAGTGGAGCCTACAAACTGGTGATCTATTTATCACAAACCAGCTTGCCGTTTGGTCGTCTGCCAGTTGTCTGTGCTGCAGCTGATATAGACATCTCGGGAGGCGGATATAGAGGACGAAAGTGTTGTGAATCTCTACATTTATATTATGAAATCACAAGATAAATGATAAAATCCCACTGAGGTTTTCCTACATATTAAAAACTACACATTTTACACTTCACTAGAATTGTCAATTTGGAGGGCTGTTAGATTTCATTTTTTTTTTTGTTTTTTTGTGGGATTTTTTGCTTGTGGTTTTTAGCTGCTCTGTGTAAAGGATGGGGGTAGAGAAGTGTAACTGGGCTCTCTGCAAAACACCAAACTGCCTTACATCAAATACAAATTCTGTTTTGTGACTACCTGTTGTCTGTGAGGGAGGCTGCACACAATTGACCAGGAAAAGAGAGAAAACATTCTAATCTTTTCGTACTTTTTTGTGTCCTCCAACTGCCAGTGGGCCTGACTTGAGTGCAATAGATAAAACAGTCTCAACTCTGTGGGCGCTTTTTATTCCCCTGTATTTCCACCTTCCTTCCTGAATTAGACCATTGGATCACAATTTGGACAGCCAGAGCCTCCTAACTATTGTTGAGCAGCAGACCACCCTATTACACTCTCTGCCTTCCAAGAGGATTCTCTTCTGATTGAATAGTCACATGGTACTGTCCTATCTGCCGCCATGACGGTGGCCTTAAAACGGGTAGAACAAGACAATAATTGTATTGGATGTCCTAACAATTAAAGAGTCAATATAACCTGTTTTTTGGATTGTCCCAATGTCCCCTGACCAAAAATAACACTAAAGTTGGGTTTGATTAAACCTATATGCTTTGTGTATCTGTAAACACATGAATTCTTAATTAATCTCTTGTTGGCAGGTGCAGAACCACTGTGTTGAACTCATTAGTGAGTTTGGGGTGAGCTAGACCAGCTCAGGAATCGTATCATACAGAAACCATTACTCCTACGACTGACAGGCCATGTTTGGACGATGACACGGAGAGTTCATAGCTGTCAAATGTGAACAAACAAGAACTTAAAGTATTGTCGCTCAGTGTTCTCAACTAAACGGTGTAATCAGGCTGTATTATGTCTCTTCTCTTTATTCGTGAGGCGGGGAGCTTGTTCAAGGCCAACTGTGTGGTAACTTTGAGTTGGCTGCATGGCATCACCGGGATTGACCTGCTCCGACCTCCCATGCAGATCTTGGCACCATATGTTCACAAGTCCATGTGAGAGAGCAGAAGAAGAAGTAGGAGTCACAAAGGAGTACTTTGGCCTCTGATCGTGAACATTCTTGCTTTCCACCTCAGCTTTTTGAAAAAGTACGAAGGGAGTTTTTTTTTTGTTTTGTTTTGTTTTGTTTTTTTAACTTCTCAAGAGAGCCAGGCCCAAAAGGAAAATTGTAACCTAGACCTCTGGGTCCCCCTGCTCTCTCCCACCCACAGAGCACCTGTACCTGCAGGCATTTTCTGAACAGGTGTGCCCACCTGCCAGGCACCACTGCTTAACCAGCTGTCATTACCTGTGTCAAAACCAGAGTTCAGGGAATAACCGAAGGGAACAGAGCCATTTATAAACTGCTTGCAGACTGTTTCAAAGGGTGTGGTAGCTGTACAATGTAAATAAGCCCCCAGCAGATCCCCCTCACCTGTGCTTAATGCATGTGTGAATCAAACTGGGACAAACATGTTTTATAGACCACAAATGTCAGGTAAGTAAAGTTTGAGCTACTCTTGAGATATAATTTCCATACAGGTGTGCTGTATTGTTGGTATTTCTCTTCAAATGCCTATTGGAAAACTTAACTAGTCAGTTGGGAATTCAATTCCTTTGAGTAGGGCCTGTCTACATGTGATTTCTTGTGGAACGTGTCTGGGTGTATAGATTTAAAAATATATATATATTGTAAAATAATTAAAAAGAGATGCAGGCAGAAACCTACACAATATCACAGAAACCAGGAGCATTGATCAATACACCATTAGAAATTTAGAATCGGTCCTCTCCGGTGTTAAGTTGAAATACAGCTGACTGTTAACAATGTGTGTGGTATTCATACCTCAGTCAGCCATGTCAAAGCCCAAAGAACTTGATTTCATATTACTCTTTCCTTTGAGGTTGTGCTATATAACGAGATGGAACCTGAATGCCTCTGCGTGTGTATAATTGATGAGGGTCTTTGTTCTGATGAGAGAAATGACATATATGCTTTTATTATTCGGGTGGGGGGGTCAGGGTTCTTGTTTGTACTTTTGGGTGATGATGTTTCTGTTATAGCACATCTGTGCAGTAAGTGCTTGCAAACATGAACCCTTTGATTGTACAGTAGTTTCCTTCCTGTTACTGCAGGTGGTACAGCCTATCAGGACACTTGGCCTCATGGTCTTCCCTGTCATAGTCATGAGGGAACACAGTCCTGCAACTTTTGTTTGGGTTTTATTTTGGGACTTGACAAAAGTTTATTTGTTTGAAAATAAAATATGTGACTCAGTTATGATTTTGATGTGCTTGTTATTCTGATTTTAAATAATGTAGTGGCTTTATTGAGAGAAGACCATAGAGGCTGACATGAAACAGGAACAAATGGGTTATTTTCCAACAACTTGTCTATCGGATTCCCTTGAATGGCAACAATGGGACATTAATGAACATTTTACCACAACAGTAACAACAGTTACCTGTGGAAAAACAGATGGGCCTGAGTATTTTCAGTCCACTCTCAGAATAGGAAGTTAACACCAGGCTGCAAAGAGCTTATTCTGTTATTCCTCCATGATGATCTTTTTCTTGGCTTTGTCCAACCTGTCCAGGATTTCACTGTAGAGACCAGACATCTGTGGGAACACAAGACACTGTATGACTTGAAAAGAGTTCTAATCATGATGGTTATAATTCAATATAATGCCTGTGTTACTTCAGCCCAAGCCTTTCTCCATTTTTTCTCATAAGCTCTATCGTGATCCAAGAACTAGAGTTTGCTTTACCCACTCCCTTCTTCTACTCCAGTTTTTTACCTGTTTTTCGTAGCTCTCCTGCAGAGATCCAAGGTATTGGACAAAGCTCATGGCGAGGCCACACCACTTCTCAGCCTCGGGGTACTGAGCCAGGCTGTATAGCAGTATCCCTGTATTCCATGCCCGCGTCAACAACCACAGGGTCTCCATCTTTGGGAAGTCTTCCGGCTGCAGATAGGAGCAGGAAGACGTTCAAAGGACCTTTTTAACGGAAGCCAAGCTTAAGAAAGGAAATCTGTTCTTGAGGTGAAAGCCTGTGAGTAACTTTGACACAGTCCTGTTCTATTAACATTTACTAGTAGAATGTTAACATTTACTAGGAGTCTTAGACTTTAAACAAACCGGAATGGCCGGAATCATTTCTGAAGTTTCCTCCGTTTTCCTCAGCTTTCACTTTGATCCAAAGAATTCCACAGCTATCAAGTAATAACTGAATATGAAAGAGGAAATATGCTCTGCCTCTATAGCAGTGTAATGTCTCAATAATTTGCTGCCTCTTTCAGAGCTGCAGCTCACCGGCAGTGTGATGACTTGCACATCACATTAACATTCAAATTGGCAGGAAGGGGATGGTGAATGGAAGCATCTGCTAATTGAAGTGCGGCTGAAAGCCCATTGATAAAAAGAGGCTTCCAGAACAGCAGGCAAACATGGAGTGGAAGAGAGGGGGTTAATTATATAGCAGGGAGCAGTTCTGTTGGAGGGAACAGGAGGTGGGAGCTAAGGGATAGGCAATGTGTGATTGGTGCTGACTCACTGCGGCTGCAATGATGGACAGGGCCTCCTCGTAGTATTCCCACACCTCCTCTAGCACATGGGCCTCCACCTCAGACACACCGCTTGGGAGGGATAGCTTGATCAGGCTGTGAACACACTTACTAAGACAGGGAAACAAAAAACGCATACAATCAGAAAGCCCTTTCATCCTAATGAGCACTTTGTAGGAAAGGATCAGTCATGAAATGTCACGGGTATTTTCATGCAGTGTAGTGAAGGGTATGCCTGCAGCGAGCCAGGTCAGCCAGTGGTTGTTTCTTGTGCAGAGAGAGAGTAACCCTCAAGGCCTTCTTACACAGCAGAGGGAAGTGGGCTGGAGGCTCCATAGCCAAAGCTACATGTAGAAGAAAAAGATGTGATCTTTATGAAAGTACTACAAAGTGTCTGTTTCTTTAGGCACGTTTGCAGAGTTAGAATGATAATGTTTTTATTTCTTCTCTACCTGCAATGGTTTCAAGCACCTTGGTTTCGACATTTTCAAGCTCCAAGACAGACTCCAGAACTGTCTCCACTTTGGGGTCATTTAGCTTAGCACGAGCTTCAAATTCATACAGCAGCAGCAGTGTGTCTGTTGGGTCCATGGGGAAGTTTCCTATGAGTACATACATATTAAGAATACATATCAGCACTGCATACTTGTATTAATTGGATATTGTAGTTCTTATGGTACCTGATGCTTTAAGGGTTTTCCAAATCTCCCAGCAAATCTGAATGTGCTCCAGAGCCTGAGTGAGCTCCTCCGTCTGTGAAACCAAGCAGAATTGGTAACAAGCATTCTGGATTCATTTGCGCCATCTAGTGTTCAGTTCATTCTTCATAAGCAGACAGATTGAAAGTGAAACACCTACGCCGTCACCAATAATGTGGTTAGTCACCTCTCTTCTCCACTGGTCTCTGTAAATTTCCATCTATGTGGATGGAGTGCGTGCTAAATGTAGGAGATGGGTTAGAGGGAGTGGATGGCACACCTGGGCAGAGTAAGGAGACTTCCTGCAGAGCTCCAAAGATGCAGCAGCAGCCATGAGCAGACACGTCTTCTGGCCCATGAGCAGTGTTCGATCAGGAGGGCACAGCTGTGAGAGCTACAGGATTATACATGCGCACACGTGGATGTAAAGTGTTATCAACAAATACAGTACTTTGTAATATGAAGGTGTTTTTGAGCATGGGAAAATTAATCAACATTCACTGCAGAACCTTCTATTTGTATAGGTGTGCTGTAAGACATGGATGCATGTACTTCAATCAATTTGCAATTACAGGTTTTCAGATAAAGGTAAGGTCCAAAAGTCAGAGGGCATAGGAAACTGTCACGATGGAATCATCCTGGGTCACTGAGATCCTTTATCTTTTTTTAAAGAAAAGGTAAATCCTTGTTCAGGTGATATTGATCTACACCCACCAACTGTGCCATAGATATTGATAATTAACCTGAAAAAGCTAATAAGGACACTTGCCTGGTAGGAGAGAACAAAGAAATCCCTCATTCTGTGAGGGCTGCTCTCACACTGCAAAGCTGAGTTCCAAGCTGTGACAAAGACACACAATTACACTGAAGGGGCTGCAAGATTTTAAGAGACTGCTAGCATGTTTTATCGAAGAGAAAAGGAGAGGAACCGTATCCATACCAATCTTTCTGAACCAGTTAGCTTCTTCTGCACGTTGCCCAACAGTCATGCAAGACTGGCATGAAACTTTCTGCAAAGCTGCAGCGATACAAAACAAAACATGTATCTGGTCATCTCACATTGCAGACACTGTAGAGAAGATATTCACTGTTGCATACATACCCATTTTTAAGTATGGCAGAAGAACATCCAGATTAACAGTCCTATGTAAATCAATCAGGTTTTGTTTTTATTATAGGAACGTCAATCATACCAATTAATTGGGCATTTCCACTTTTCCTCACCTTGTTGTGTCATTCGATTTTTCTATTGTTGAGAGCACAAGTCGCACCAAACACCTATGAAAGATGAATGGAAAAACTGCTGTTGACCTCCTTTTTTTCACCTACTAACTGTATTATACAGAGACACACTTTCAGGGGAGAAGCAGGGGAATATAGGTCAGTGGATCATAGAGGAGTTTGGAAAAGCTAACTGACGAGGTAAAATCTCATATATCCATAGCAGCTATTTTTATATTTCTTCTTTAAGCAATGGGGCTTAAAAGTTAGGGTTTTTTTTGTAAGTTTATTATAAATGTCTACAAGCAAGAGATTTAGTTTAGTTTTAATTCTTTCATTTGATTATTTGAGTGCTCACATACCTGAGAGCAGTCAGAACCTGAGCCTCATCTTTGGAGTTGTCACACAAGCTCTCCAGTGCCTTCATGGCAGTTTCCTGTTGTTCATTCTGTCCCAAGGAACAAACCTCCTTATAATTAATTCCACAGCACACCGGTCATATTCATCACAATGATGGGGTAAAATAAGGATTTCAACCCATTTTCTATTAATTAAAAGAAATATATATATATATATATATATATATTTTTTTTTTTTCAAACCTAATCTTAAAATTGCTAAAAGCTTGCTCCCCATTTTGCTGATATTTACACAAGAATTCCCACTAATGTAAGATGTTAGAGTGTTTTATAAAATCCTAATTAAGTCAAATTTCACCTATTTGCACAAAACAATTCACTATCATGTCAAAGCTGAAAATCAACATTCATCTACACCTGAATGATTATGCATAGTAATCCTTGGGAGATTGTGTACAGTAATGCTATATCTCAAATATCAGCCATTGCTGACCCAGCAGGGTCTATCTTTTCCTGGAAAGATGTCACATTCAGAGACCCCAACATTCATCCTCTCCATTCATCATGACTAGCACAAAGTTCCGCAGTAGCTGCACCAAAACACTTTTACAGCTGAGTTAAATTGGGTGTCTTTAGAAACTGTATATGAAAGTACTACTGAGTGATTAAACCCAAGTTTTTTCAAATTAGAAAACTACGAAATCTGATACATCCGACAGACCAATTCATTTTAAAAACATATCTGACATATTTATACACATTATGTAAGTGCGGAGTAGCGAGTCCTACCTCTAAAGCAATCTGAGCAGCCAGGCTGAGGAGATTGCAAGCAGCACTCTTAGATACCAGCAATCTGTCCTCAGTGGAAACAGGACACCTGGATAAAAGTCCTATTGAATTCACTGCCTCTGCAGCTGGTACAAATAAACAGCCTCATCACCACAGAGAAAATTCTGACAGGTAGCTGTTATTAAATTGCCACACTACTAGCGATTAATGAATTTTCTGTGAAAGTATTCAGAGCTAATGTTTTTATATATACCTTTCTCCACATTGTTCTCCTGCACTGCAATCTTGTACACGCTGAACTGAGTGAAAATGTTGTCCGGATCACATCTCTCTGCTTCTTTTATTGCTTCTCTGGCCTGAAAACAAATGTTTTTAAATACATGCCAACAAACATCACGTAAAAAAATAGAAACCACCTGGTTTTATGACATTAACTGTCCTAACTTGCTGTTGTGGCTCAAGTCATCTTACCTTCTCCAGCTGCTTTAGTTGGAGGAAACAGGAAGCTCTGTTCCTCTGTAGTTTGGCCGAGTTTGGCTCCATTTGACCAGCTTTAAAGAAACCCAGGGAGTAGTTGTACCACTGAAGAGCCTCTGAGTAGTTTTTGGCCTTTGAAGAAAGACAGAATCCTAAGTTAAACTTT